TAAGATTATCTTGCCAATTTGAGCGATATTCTGATAATTTGGAAGAGCGCCATTTCCTTTCAGATTTTCTAGCTATTTGTTTTAACTGGCGGGTTTGGTGGTTATACCAAGGTGCTAGTCTCCTATGTTTTAATAATTTCCTTTTTGTAGGAGTCTAATGTTGATCGTAGTGAGCCTGTAGCACTATCGACAAGATTATCAATTTCAGAGGGACTAAAGTTATTATAGGACTCTGTTATATTCAGACATGGCATTGAATTAAACACTGATGGAATCTCCTCCTTAAATTTGGCTACAGCACTGTCAGATAGACATCTGCTGTAGGACGTTTTGCCTAATGGCTTATAATCTAATAGTATGAATTCAAAAGTTATTAAATAATGGTCAGATAGAAAACAATTATGTGGGATGACTATTAAATGTTCAGTACCAATGCAATATGAAAGAAAAAGGTCAAGAGTGTGATTAAAACAATGAGTTGGTTTATTTACACTCTGACAGAAGCCAATTGAGTCTATTAATGATATAAATGCGTTACTAAGGCTGTCATTGTCAACATCGACATGAATATTAAAATCACGTACAATAATTACTTTATCTGATTTAAGGACTAAACTTGATAGAAACTCTGAGAATTCAGATATAAAATCAGAGTACGGTCCAGGAGCGCAGTACACTATAACAAATAGAACTGGCTGCAGTGTTTTCCAGTTTGGGTGAGAAAGACTAAGAACAAGGCTTTCGAATGAATTATAATGTAGTTTAGGTTTAGGGTCCATTAAAACGCTCGAATCATATATGGCTGCTACTCCACCTCCTCGGCCAGTGCCTCGAGGAATGTGAGTATTAATATGACTGGGGGGGTGGATTCATTTAGGCTAACATACTCCTCGTGGGACAACCAGGTCTCAGTAAGACAAAGTAAATCAATATCGTAATCTGATATTAATTCATTCACTAAAACAGCTTTAGAGGACAGAGACCTGATATTTAACAGCCCACATTTCATTCTCTTATTTTGTGCTACTGAGGAGCTGGTTTTAATTTTTATTAGATTTTTATGTTGAACTCCTCTTGTTTTTATTTCTTTAAATAATTTAGGTGGTTGGGGGACAGACACAGTCTCTATGGGGTTTTGGTTGGGTGACTGTTCTAAAGAAAGAGCAGAGAAGTGTGTAAGACAGCAGCTCTGCTTCCTGGTCCCAACTAAGTGTTTGTGTTATTTTGTCTACCCCCTTTATACCTAAAATAAAGGTAAAATAAATAATAAACTATATCGATGAGGCTGAATAACAGGAGTGCATGTTAGTACAAAACTACACAGTTTAATATTAATAAGAAATTAAAGCTGCAAGCAGCGTTGGGCGGGACCTCGCACCCGGCGCTCGTCGGGGCACGCCGCAAACGCGTCACGTGCGGTCGGGGTTCGCCGAGGCCACGCCACGTGCCGTCGTAACAAGCGTGGACGGCAACGCGAATACGTCACGTAAAACTGCTCCAAATCAGCTCCGTATCGCCACGCAGCGCTTCCTTCCTGTTGCCAGTATGCTGTGCTTTCACTTTATCTGAATCTTGTCACGTAGACAAGTTCATGGCGGGACAGTAATACGTAGGCTGATGTCATGAGGACGCGTTCATGGCGAGACTGTTACAGAATATATGAAGTTTATTGGAAATTGGACATTGCACACTGAAGTTATGAGTACCGTTTAATGGAAAATGGTCTGAATTCGACAAGGGGTCAGTGGCACGCAGTTTGACGTACAGTCACAAATAGCTCAATTCTTCATGTACACTTTGTTTTTATAAGACTGTCCAATTTTGAAGTGGATTTGATAAGTCCCCTATTTATCTTGCAATTTAATAAGTGACTTCCAGCGGTTTCCCACTATGCTCCACGAACAATACTCCCTAGGAAATATGGTTTGTAGATGTGGCTAGTGGGAGTGGAGGGGTGTTTGTGTTTCATCACTTTGAAAAAAAAAGACCACAGAATTCAAAATGTCCAACTTTGACGAGACACCTGGGACACGCCCTTCAACGTACAGTCATAAATAGCACAACTTGTAATCAGCAAGATTATTCAAGAGTCCTGTCAAGTTTTGAAGCAGATCTGATAAAGTCTCAAGGACTTTGTTTGTTCAAATACAGGACCACGGGCTTCAAAATGGCCACCTTTGAGGGCACGCCACGGACACGCCCTTCAACGTACAGTCACAAAATGAAATGCGTTCATTCAGCAGCATGTTGTGACGGTACTGCCCAATTTTGAAGAAGATCCTTTGAAACGTGTAGGAGGAGATCATTCATATAGAAGCCCTGAAAGGCCAAAATGACATCACAGTGTGACATTTGTTCTAAATGGCCAACTTTGAGGGCACGCCACGGACACACCCTTCAACGTACAGTCACAAAATATAATGCGTTCATTCAGCACCACGTTGTGACTGGACTGCCCAATTTTGAAGAAGATCCAATAGAAGCTGTAGGAGGGCATCATTCAAATAGAAGCCCTGAAATGCAAAAATGACATCACAGTGTGACATTAGTTCTAAATGGCCAACTTTGACGGCAGGCCACGGACACGCCCTTCAACGTACAGTCACAAAATGAAATGCGTTCATTCAGCAGCATGTTTTAACTGTACTGACCAATTTTTAAGCAGATCCGATAAATTCCCTAGGAGCAGTTAGTTCACAAAGAAGCCCAAAAGGTCAAAATGACCACAAAATGGCTGCCAAAAGTGCAAATTTTCAACGAAAATAGCCGACTTCCTGTGGGATTTGAAGTATGGGTCCAAGAGGCTTTTTTGTACGCCCCGGCACATTATACATGCCTATTGAGTTTCGTACATATCGGTGAAACGTGGCGCCGGGGCTGATTTATTTTTATCCTGTAGGGGGGCGCTACAAGCACGAGAAACACGATTTTTGGTATGTGAGCTTCAGGCAGCACTCTACACGTGCCCAATAACTTTCATATTCATAACTATTACGGTGTCCGCACAGTGATTTACCCTGCCACCAGAGTGCCACCTAGTGGCGTGATTTTTTTCCTTTTTTAGGTGAGCCTCAGGGAGCCATGGGGAAGCAGCATACAAAGTTTCATCTTAATCACACATACCGTTGTAGAGCTATAAACTCCTTCATTTTAAAGAGCGCCACCTTGTGGTGATGACCTGAAATTGTGCACGATGCTTAAGGAAGACATGGGGAACTATGGACCCAAGGGTGGTGTAAATCGGACATACCAACGTGGAGAAATACCCCACTTCCTTTTTTGACGAAAAATCAACAGGAAGTGCTAATTTTATAACTTCCTTATGTTTTATAATATCAAAATTCTTCAAATTACTTTTGTTGTCAGGACGGTCCACAGATGAAACGTGCAAAGTTTCGTGCGCATCGGACAAAGTGTGTAGGAGGAACACGAAAAAGTGATTTATGGACATTTTGCGCTCTAGAAAAAAAAAAATTTAGGCGGAAGTGGGCGTGGCCTATATGGGGAGGTTCAGCCCCATTCACCGAACGCGTGGATATAAGGTTTTTGAATGTGAGACAAACTATGCGGGAGTTATTAGCCTTTCAAAATCGGCCGAAACAGCGCCACCTAGAGTCCTACCTACTGGCTGATCCGCATGTGACGATAGAATCTCTAAGTTAAATGAGGCTTCACAAATCTGCCAAATAAAATTGAGAGTGTGTAAATGCGCAAGGCTCAAAATCGCAGTTAAAGTGGCCTAAAAATAATAATAATAATAATAATAAACGAAGGAAAAACAATAGAGACCTTCCAGTTCATACTGGCTCGGTCCCTAATTATGTTCATAAAGTAAAATGTATTTTCCACAATATGTTTTAAAATCCATCATCAGCTCAGAATGTTTGTTTTATATATATATATAGTGCTTCTACTGTATCTTCACATAAAGATGATCTTTATTGAGGTTATCAGATAATATCTATATATATATATAATAATATCTCTGTGTGCTTTTATATATATATATAATAATATCTCTGTGTGCTTTTATATATATATATAATAATATCTCTGTGTGCTTTTATATATATATATAATAATATCTCTGTGAGCTTTTATATATATAACGTTATATAATAATATCTCTGTGTGCTTTTATATATATATATAATAATATCTCTGTGTGCTTTTATATATATATATAATAATATCTCTGTGTGCTTTTATATATATATATATAATAATATCTCTGTGTGCTTTTATATATATATATAATAATATCTCTGTGTGCTTTTATATATATATATAATAATATCTCTGTGTGCTTTTATATATATAACGTTATATAATAATATCTCTGTGTGCTTTTATATATATAACGTTATATAATAATATCTCTGTGTGCTTTTATATATATAACGTTATATAATAATATCTCTGTGTGCTTTTATATATATATATAATAATATCTCTGTGTGCTTTTATATATATATATATAATAATATCTCTGTGTGCTTTTTATATATATATATAATAATATCTCTGTGTGCTTTTTATATATATATATATATAATAATATCTCTGTGTGCTTTTATATATATATATATAATAATATCTCTGTGTGCTTTTATATATATATATAATAATATCTCTGTGTGCTTTTATATATATATATAATAATATCTCTGTGTGCTTTTATATATATATATAATAATATCTCTGTGTGCTTTTATATATATATATATAATAATATCTCTGTGTGCTTTTATATATATATATAATAATATCTCTGTGTGCTTTTATATATATATATAATAATATCTCTGTGTGCTTTTATATATATATATAATAATATCTCTGTGTGCTTTTATATATATATATAATAATATCTCTGTGAGTGGCTCCTACTGTTGAACCTCAAACACTCTGCTCAGGTTGGTATGGTACCTGTGCAGTAGAGGCTGTCCAGCGGCGCCAGTCAGATAAACTAAACTACAGTGTAAGAGAGTTGACATAAATACTGTACACATTATTAAAACATGTTAGAAAACTTTATACAACAAATCAGACGGAGACTGAACGTTTGATCAGAGCTTTTACAGTTGTATTTTATTATTTTACAGGCACAGGCACATGTAGAGACAGGCCTATGCGCTGCGGGGTCCTGATGTGTTCTTACTGAATGAACGGTTTGTTTGTTAGCCAGGCAGCTAACATACTAACCGTTAAATGTATTATTCTACTCAACAGACACTGATTTATTTTATGTCTTTTATTTTAAAGGGTTAAAGTTCATCATTTGTCAACAAAGCGGATTTATTTTATTTTAAATCTGCGTCACGAGCTGAAAGCGAAGCTAGGTAAGCTAACGTTAGCTAGCGGCTAACTGACAGTAATGCATTTCAAAGGTTTACTAACTTATTAACATAATAAAATACAGCTAACTGCTCCCTGTTGACTGTATTAACTACTGTTTACTGTATTACTGCTCCCTGTTGACTGTATTAACTACTGTTTACTGTTTACTGTTGACTGTATTAACTACTGTTTACTGTATTACTGCTCCCTGTTGACTGTTTACTGTTGACTGTTTACTGTTTACTGTATTACTGTTTACTGTTTACTGTATTACTGTTTACTGTTTACTGTATTACTGTTTACTGTTTACTGTTGACTGTTTACTGTTTACTGTATTACTGTTTACTGTTTACTGTATTACTGTTTACTGTTTACTGTATTACTGTTTACTGTTTACTGTATTACTGTATTACTGTTGACTGTTTACTGTATTACTGTATTACTGTTGACTGTTTACTGTATTACTGTATTACTGTTGACTGTTTACTGTATTACTGTTTACTGTATTACTGTTTACTGTATTACTGTATTACTGTTGACTGTTTACTGTTTACTGTTGACTGTTTACTGTATTACTGTTTACTGTATTACTGTTTACTGTATTACTGTTTACTGTTGACTGTTTACTGTATTACTGTTTACTGTATTACTGTTTACTGTTTACTGTTTACTGTATTACTGTTTACTGTTGACTGTTTACTGTATTCTCACAGGAGCTGTTAGAAGCTGCAGCCACTGAGGGAGGAGGAGTAACCATAGCAACAGGAGGTTGGAATATACTTCATTCATTACAAACAAACATTTTACTGCAGTAAAAGTACTCAATATGTTTCAATATTATCATTATTTACACTTTACATACATTTATGCTGTTTAATCTGCAATCTTTAGACGTCACTTCCGGTTTGAACACCTCCAGGCCTCAAGCTGATTCTTCTTCTGTGGTAAAATCATGGAACTGGCATACGTGTGTGAGTGGGAGAAACGTCCTAAGAGCACTCACTGTCCCTCCATCCCTCTGGTCTGCTCCTGGTCCTGCAGGAACCTTGTGGCCTTCACCACAGACCTGAAGAACGAGGACGACGACAAAGGTACACGGCTACAGACACAGCACAGACACAGCTACAGCACAGACACAGCTACAGACACAGCACAGACACGGCTACAGACACAGCACAGACACAGCTACAGCACAGACACAGCTACAGCACGGACACAGCTACAGCACGGACACAGCTACAGCACAGACACACACAGCTACAGCACGGACACAGACACAGCTACAGCACAGACACACACAGCTACAGCACAGACACACACAGCTACAGCACGGACACAGCTACAGACACAGCTACAGCAGAGACACAGCCACAGCACAGACACAGCTACAGCAGAGACACAGACACAGCTACAGACACAGCTACAGCACAGACACAAACACAGCTACAGCACAGGTACAGCACGGACACAGCTACAGCACGGACACAGCTACAGCAGAGACACAGATACAGCACAGACACAGCTACAGCACAGACACAAACACAGCTACAGCACAGGTACAGCACGGACACAGCTACAGCACAGACACAGCTACAGCAGAGACACATACACAGCTACAGACACAGCTACAGCACGAACACAGACACAGCTACAGCACAGACACAGCTACAGCACGGACACAGCTACAGCAGAGACGCAGCTACAGCACAGACACAGCTACAGCAGAGACACAGACACAGCTACAGACACAGCTACAGCACAGACACAAACACAGCTACAGCACAGACACAGACACAAACACAGCTACAGCACAGACACAGCTACAGCACAGACACAAACACAGCTACAGCACAGACACAGCTACAGCACAGACACACACAGACACAGCTACAGACACAGCTACAACACAGACACAGCTACAGACACAGCTACAGCACAGCTACAGACACAGCTACAACACAGACACAGCTACAGCACAGACACAAACACAGCTACAGCACAGACACACACACAGACACAGCTACAGCACAGACGCAGCTACAGCACAGACGCAGCTACAGCACAGACACACCTACAGCACACACACAGCTACAGCACGAACACAGACACAGCTACATCACAGACGCAGCTACAGCACGGACGCGGACACAGCGACAGCACGGACACAGACACAGCTACAGCACAGACACAGCAACAGCACAGACACAACTACAGCACAGACACAGCTACAGCACGGACACAGACACAGCTACAGCACAGACACAGACACAGCTACAGCACGGACACAGCTACAGCAGAGACACAGCTACAGCACAGACACAGCTACAGCAGAGACACAGACACAGCTACAGACACAGCTACAGCACAGACACAAACACAGCTACAGCACAGACACAGACACAAACACAGCTACAGCACAGACACAGCTACAGACACAGCTACAGACACAGCTACAGCACAGCTACAGACACAGCTACAGCACAGACACAAACACAGCTACAGCACAGACACACACACAGACACAGCTACAGCACAGACGCAGCTACAGCACAGACACAGCACACACACACCTACAGCACACACACAGACACAGCTACAGCACGGACGCAGCTACAGCACGGACGCAGCTACAGCTACAACACAGACACAGCGACAGCACGTACACAGACACAGCTACAGCACAGACACAGCTACAGCACAGACACAGACACAGACACAAACACAGCTACAGCACAAACACAGCTACAGCACAGACACAGACACAGCTACAGCACAGACACAGCTACAGACACAGCTACAACACAGACACAGCTACAGACACAGCTACAGCACAGACACAGCTACAGCACAGACACAAACACAGCTACAGCACAGACACACACACAGACACAGCTACAGCACAGACGCAGCTACAGCACAGACGCAGCTACAACACAGACACAGCTACAGCACAGACACACCTACAGCACACACACACCTACAGCACACACACAGACACAGCTACAGCACGGACGCAGCTACAGCACGGACGCGGACACAGCGACAGCACGGACACAGACACAGCTACAGCACAGACACAGACACAGCACAGACACAACTACAGCACAGACACAGCTACAGCACGGACACAGACACAGCTACAGCTACAGCACGGACACAGCTACAGACACAGCTACAGCAGAGACACAGCTACAGCACAGACACAGCTACAGCACAGACACAGACACAAACACAGCTACAGCACAAACACAGCTACAGCACAGACACAGACACAGCTACAGCACAGACGCAGCTACAGCACAGACGCAGCTACAACACAGACACAGCTACAGCACAGACACAGCTACAGCACAGACACAAACACAGCTACAGCACAGACACACACACAGACACAGCTACAGCACAGACGCAGCTACAGCACAGACGCAGCTACAGCACAGACACAGCTACAGCACGAACACAGACACAGCTACAGCACGAACACAGACACAGCTACAGCACGGACGCAGCTACAGCACGGACGCGGACACAGCGACAGCACGGACACAGACACAGCTACAGCACAGACAGACACAGCTACAGCACAGACACAGCTACAGCACAGACAGACACAGCTACAGCACAGACACAGCTACAGCACAGACACAAACACAGCTACAGACAGACACAGCTACAGCACAGACAGACACAGCTACAGCTACAGACACACACATACACAGCTACAGCACAGACACACACATACACAGCTACAGCACAGACACAGACACAGCTACAGACACAGCTACAACACAGACACAGCTACAGCACAGACACAGCTACAGACACAGCTACAGCACAGCTACAGACACAAACACAGCTACAGCACAGACACACACAGACACAGCTACAGCACAGACACACCTACAGCACAGACGCAGCTACAACACAGACACAGCTACAGCACAGACACACACAGACACAGCTACAGCACGGACACAGCTACAGCACGGACACAGCTACAGCACAGACACAGCTACAGCACAGACAGACACAGCTACAGCACAGACAGCTACAGCTACAGCACGGACACAGCTACAGCAGAGACACAGCTACAGCAGAGACACAGACACAGCACAGACACAGCTACAGCAGAGACACAGACACAGCTACAGACACAGCTACAGCACAGACACAGACACAAACATAGCCACAGCACAGACACAGCACAGACACAGCTACAGCACAGACAGACACAGCTACAGCACAGACAGACACAGACACAGCTACAGCACAGACACAGCTACAGCACGGACACAGCTTCAGCACGGACACGGACACAGACACAGCTACAGCAGAGACACAGCTACAGCAGAGACACAGCTACAGCAGAGACACAGCTACAGCACAGACAGACACAGCTACAGTACAGACAGACACAGCTACAGGACACAGCTACAGCACAGACACAGACACAGCTACAGCACGGACACAGCTACAGCACGGACACAGCTACAGCAGAGACACAGACACAGCACAGACACAGCTACAGCACAGACACAGCTACAGCACAGACACAGCTACAGCACAGACACAGCTACAGCAGAGACACAGACACAGCACAGACACAGCTACAGCAGAGACACAGACACAGCTACAGACACAGACACAGTACAGCTACAGCACAGACACAGCTACAGCACAGACACAGCCACAGCACAGACACAAGCACAGACACAGCTACAGCACAGACAGACACAGCTACAGCACAGACACAGCTTCAGCACAGACACAGACACAGCTACAGCACGGACACGGACACAGACACAGCTACAGCAGAGACACAGCTACAGCAGAGACACAGCTACAGCAGAGACACAGCTACAGCACAGACACAGCTACAGCACAGACACAGACACAGCTACAGCACAGACACAGCTACAGCAGAGACACAGACACAGCTACAGCACAGACACAGCTACAGCAGAGACACAGACACAGCTACAGCACAGACACAGCTACAGCACAGACACAGCTACAGCAGAGACACAGACACAGCTACAGACACAGCTACCGCACAGACACAGCTACAGCACAGACACAAACACAGCTACAGCACAGGCACAGACACAGACACAAACACAGCTACAGCACAGACACAGCTACAGACACAGCTACAACACAGACACAGCTACAGCACAGACACACACAGACACAGACACAAACACAGCTACAGCACAGACACAGCTACAGACACAGCTACAACACAGACACAGCTACAGCACAGACACACACAGACACAGACACAGCTACAGCACAGCTACAGCACAGACACAGCTACAGCACAGACACAGCTACAGCACAGACACAAACACAGCTACAGCACAGACGCAGCTACAGCACAGACACAGCTACAGCACAGACACAAACACAGCAGGAACACAGACACAGCTACAGCACAGACGCAGCTACAGCACAGACGCAGCTACAACACAGACACAGCTACAGCCCGAACACAGCTACAGCCCGAACACAGACACAGCTACAGCACAGACACAGCACAGACACAGCACAGACACAGCACAGACACAGCACAGACACAGCTACAGCACAGTCAGACCCAGCACAGACACAGCTACAGCACGGACACAGCTACAGCAGAGACACAGCTACAGCAGAGACACAGCTACAGCACAGACACAGCTACAGCACAGACAGACACAGCTACAGCACGGACACAGCTACAGCACAGACACAGCTACAGCAGAGACACAGCTACAGCAGAGACACAGCTACAGCAGAGACACAGACACAGCTACAGCACGAACACAGACACAGCTACAGCACAGACACAGCTACAGCACGGACACAGCTACAGCAGAGACACAGCTACAGCACAGACACAGCTACAGCAGAGACACAGACACAGCACAGACACAGCTACAGCAGAGACACAGACACAGCACAGACACAGCTACAGCAGAGACACAGACACAGCTACAGCACGAACACAGACACAGCTACAGCACAGACGCAGCTACAGCACAGACGCAGCTACAACACAGTCACAGATACAGTCCGAACACAGCTACAGCCCGAACACAGACACAGCTACAGCACAGACACAGCTACAGCACAGACACAGCTACAGCACAGGCACAGACACAGACACAGCTACAGCAGAGACACAGCTACAGCACAGACACAGCTACAGCAGAGACACAGCTACAGACACAGCTACAGCACAGACACAGCTACAGCACAGACACAGCTACAGCACAGACACAAACACAGCTACAGCACAGACACAAACACAGCTACAGCACAGACAGACACAGACACAGCTACAGCACAGACACAGCTACAGCACGGACACACACATACACAGCTACAGCACAGACACACACATACACAGCTACAGCACAGACACACACATACACAGCTACAGACACAGCTACAGCACAGACACAGCTACAGCACAGCTACAGACACAGCTACAACACAGACACAGCTACAGCACAGACACAAACACAGCTATAGCACAGACACACACAGACACACCTACAGCACACACACAGCTACAGCACAGACGCAGCTACAGCACAGACGCAGCTACAACAAAGACGCAGCTACAGCACAGACACACCTACAGCACACACACAGCTACAGCACGAACACAGACGCAGCTACAGCACAGACGCAGCTACAGCACAGACGCAGCTACAGCACGGACGCTGCTACAGCACGGACGCAGACACACCTACAGCACGGACGCTGCTACAGCACGGACGCAGACACACCTACAGCACAGACACAGCTACAGCAGAGACACAGCTACAGCAGAGACACAGACACAGCTACAGCACAGACACAGCTACAGCACGGACACAGACACAGCTACAGCACGGACACAGACACAGCTACAGCACAGACACAACACAGACACAGCTACAGACACAGCTACAGCACAGCTACAGACACAGCTACAACACAGACACAGCTACAGCACAGACACAGCTACAGCAGAGACACAGACACAAACACAGCTACAGCACAGACACAGCTACAGCACAGACACAGCTACAGACACAGCTACAGCAGAGACACAGCTACAGCAGAGACACAGCTACAGCAGAGACACAGCTACAGCACAGACACAGCTACAGCACAGACACAAACACAGCTACAGCACAGACAGACACAGACACAGCTACAGCACAGACACAGCTACAGCACGGACACACACATACACAGCTACAGCACAGACACACACATACACAGCTACAGCACAGACACACACATACACAGCTACAGACACAGCTACAGCACAGACACAGCTACAGCACAGCTACAGACACAGCTACAACACAGACACAGCTACAGCACAGACACAAACACAGCTATAGCACAGACACACACAGACACAGCTACAGCACAGACACACCTACAGCACACACACAGCTACAGCACAGACGCAGCTACAACACAGACGCAGCTACAGCACAGACGCAGCTACAACACAGACGCAGCTACAGCACAGACACACCTACAGCACACACACAGCTACAGCACGAACACAGACGCAGCTACAGCACAGACGCAGCTACAGCACGGACGCAGCTACAGCACGGACGCTGCTACAGCACGGACGCAGACACACCTACAGCACAGACACAGCGACAGCACGGGACACAGACACAGCTACAGCACAGACACAGCTACAGCACAGACAGACACAGCTACAGCACGGACACAGCTACAGCACGGACACAGCTACAGCAGAGACACAGCTACAGCAGAGACACAGACACAGCTACAGCAGAGACACAGACACAGCTACAGCACAGACACAGCTACAGCACGGACACAGACACAGCTACAGCACGGACACAGACACAGCTACAGCACAGACACAACACAGACACAGCTACAGACACAGCTACAGCACAGCTACAGACACAGCTACAACACAGACACAGCTACAGCAGAGACACAGCTACAGCACAGACACAGCTACAGCAGAGACACAGACACAAACACAGCTACAGCACAGACACAGCTACAGCACAGACACAGCTACAGCTACAGACACAGCTACAGCAGAGACACAGCTACAGCAGAGACACAGCTACAGCACAGACACAGCTACAGACACAGCTACAGCACAGACACAGCTACAGCACAGACACAGCTACAGCACGGACACAGCTACAGCAGAGACACAGCTACAGCACAGACTCAGCTACAGCAGAGACACAGACACAGCACAGACACAGCTACAGCAGAGACACAGACACAGCACAGACACAGCTACAGCAGAGACACAGACACAGCTACAGCACGAACACAGACACAGCTACAGCACAGACGCAGCTACAGCACAGACGCAGCTACAACACAGTCACAGATACAGTCCGAACACAGCTACAGCCCGAACACAGACACAGCTACAGCACAGACACAGCTACAGCACAGACACAGCTACAGCACAGACACAGCTACAGCACAGGCACAGACACAGACACAGCTACAGCAGAGACACAGCTACAGCACAGACACAGCTACAGCAGAGACACAGCTACAGACACAGCTACAGCACAGACACAGCTACAGCACAGACACAGCTACAGCACAGACACAAACACAGCTACAGCACAGACACAAACACAGCTACAGCACAGACAGACACAGACACAGCTACAGCACAGACACAGCTACAGCACGGACACACACATACACAGCTACAGCACAGACACACACATACACAGCTACAGCACAGACACACACATACACAGCTACAGACACAGCTACAGCACAGACACAGCTACAGCACAGCTACAGACACAGCTACAACACAGACACAGCTACAGCACAGACACAAACACAGCTATAGCACAGACACACACAGACACACCTACAGCACACACACAGCTACAGCACAGACGCAGCTACAGCACAGACGCAGCTACAACAAAGACGCAGCTACAGCACAGACACACCTACAGCACACACACAGCTACAGCACGAACACAGACGCAGCTACAGCACAGACGCAGCTACAGCACAGACGCAGCTACAGCACGGACGCTGCTACAGCACGGACGCAGACACACCTACAGCACGGACGCTGCTACAGCACGGACGCAGACACACCTACAGCACAGACACAGCTACAGCAGAGACACAGCTACAGCAGAGACACAGACACAGCTACAGCACAGACACAGCTACAGCACGGACACAGACACAGCTACAGCACGGACACAGACACAGCTACAGCACAGACACAACACAGACACAGCTACAGACACAGCTACAGCACAGCTACAGACACAGCTACAACACAGACACAGCTACAGCACAGACACAGCTACAGCAGAGACACAGACACAAACACAGCTACAGCACAGACACAGCTACAGCACAGACACAGCTACAGACACAGCTACAGCAGAGACACAGCTACAGCAGAGACACAGCTACAGCAGAGACACAGCTACAGCACAGACACAGCTACAGCACAGACACAAACACAGCTACAGCACAGACAGACACAGACACAGCTACAGCACAGACACAGCTACAGCACGGACACACACATACACAGCTACAGCACAGACACACACATACACAGCTACAGCACAGACACACACATACACAGCTACAGACACAGCTACAGCACAGACACAGCTACAGCACAGCTACAGACACAGCTACAACACAGACACAGCTACAGCACAGACACAAACACAGCTATAGCACAGACACACACAGACACAGCTACAGCACAGACACACCTACAGCACACACACAGCTACAGCACAGACGCAGCTACAACACAGACGCAGCTACAGCACAGACGCAGCTACAACACAGACGCAGCTACAGCACAGACACACCTACAGCACACACACAGCTACAGCACGAACACAGACGCAGCTACAGCACAGACGCAGCTACAGCACGGACGCAGCTACAGCACGGACGCTGCTACAGCACGGACGCAGACACACCTACAGCACAGACACAGCGACAGCACGGACACAGACACAGCTACAGCACAGACACAGCTACAGCACAGACAGACACAGCTACAGCACGGACACAGCTACAGCACGGACACAGCTACAGCAGAGACACAGCTACAGCAGAGACACAGACACAGCTACAGCAGAGACACAGACACAGCTACAGCACAGACACAGCTACAGCACGGACACAGACACAGCTACAGCACGGACACAGACACAGCTACAGCACAGACACAACACAGACACAGCTACAGACACAGCTACAGCACAGCTACAGACACAGCTACAACACAGACACAGCTACAGCAGAGACACAGCTACAGCACAGACACAGCTACAGCAGAGACACAGACACAAACACAGCTACAGCACAGACACAGCTACAGCACAGACACAGCTACAGCTACAGACACAGCTACAGCAGAGACACAGCTACAGCAGAGACACAGCTACAGCACAGACACAGCTACAGACACAGCTACAGCACAGACACAGCTACAGCACAGACACAGCTACAGCACGGACACAGCTACAGCAGAGACACAGCTACAGCACAGACTCAGCTACAGCAGAGACACAGACACAGCACAGACACAGCTACAGCAGAGACACAGACACAGCACAGACACAGCTACAGCAGAGACACAGACACAGCTACAGCACGAACACAGACACAGCTACAGCACAGACGCAGCTACAGCACAGACGCAGCTACAACACAGTCACAGATACAGTCCGAACACAGCTACAGCCCGAACACAGACACAGCTACAGCACAGACACAGCTACAGCACAGACACAGCTACAGCACAGACACAGCTACAGCACAGGCACAGACACAGACACAGCTACAGCAGAGACACAGCTACAGCACAGACACAGCTACAGCAGAGACACAGCTACAGACACAGCTACAGCACAGACACAGCTACAGCACAGACACAAACACAGCTACAGCACAGACACAAACACAGCTACAGCACAGACAGACACAGACACAGCTTCAGCACAGACACAGCTACAGCACGGACACACACATACACAGCTACAGCACAGACACACACATACACAGCTACAGCACAGACACACACATACACAGCTACAGACACAGCTACAGCACAGACACAGCTACAGCACAGCTACAGACACAGCTACAACACAGACACAGCTACAGCACAGACACAAACACAGCTATAGCACAGACACACACAGACACACCTACAGCACACACACACAGCTACAGCACAGACGCAGCTACAGCACAGACGCAGCTACAACAAAGACGCAGCTACAGCACAGACACACCTACAGCACACACACAGCTACAGCACGAACACAGACGCAGCTACAGCACAGACGCAGCTACAGCACAGACGCAGCTACAGCACGGACGCTGCTACAGCACGGACGCAGACACACCTACAGCACGGACGCTGCTACAGCACGGACGCAGACACACCTACAGCACAGACACAGCTACAGCAGAGACACAGCTACAGCAGAGACACAGACACAGCTACAGCACAGACACAGCTACAGCACGGACACAGACACAGCTACAGCACGGACACAGACACAGCTACAGCACAGACACAACACAGACACAGCTACAGACACAGCTACAGCACAGCTACAGACACAGCTACAACACAGACACAGCTACAGCACAGACACAGCTACAGCAGAGACACAGACACAAACACAGCTACAGCACAGACACAGCTACAGCACAGACACAGCTACAGACACAGCTACAGCAGAGACACAGCTACAGCAGAGACACAGCTACAGCAGAGACACAGCTACAGCACAGACACAGCTACAGCACAGACACAAACACAGCTACAGCACAGACAGACACAGACACAGCTACAGCACAGACACAGCTACAGCACGGACACACACATACACAGCTACAGCACAGACACACACATACACAGCTACAGCACAGACACACACATACACAGCTACAGACACAGCTACAGCACAGACACAGCTACAGCACAGCTACAGACACAGCTACAACACAGACACAGCTACAGCACAGACACAAACACAGCTATAGCACAGACACACACAGACACAGCTACAGCACAGACACACCTACAGCACACACACAGCTACAGCACAGACGCAGCTACAGCACAGACGCAGCTACAACACAGACGCAGCTACAGCACAGACGCAGCTACAGCACAGACGCAGCTACAGCACAGACACACCTACAGCACACACACAGCTACAGCACGAACACAGACGCAGCTACAGCACAGACGCAGCTACAGCACAGACGCAGCTACAGCACGGACGCTGCTACAGCACGGACGCAGACACACCTACAGCACAGACACAGCGACAGCACGGACACAGACACAGCTACAGCACAGACACAGCTACAGCAGAGACACAGCTACAGCACGGACACAGCTACAGCACGGACACAGCTACAGCACGGACACAGCTACAGCAGAGACACAGCTACAGCAGAGACACAGACACAGCTACAGCAGAGACACAGACACAGCTACAGCACAGACACAGCTACAGCACGGACACAGACACAGCTACAGCACGGACACAGACACAGCTACAGCACAGACACAACACAGACACAGCTACAGACACAGCTACAGCACAGCTACAGACACAGCTACAACACAGACACAGCTACAGCAGAGACACAGCTACAGCACAGACACAGCTACAGCAGAGACACAGACACAAACACAGCTACAGCACAGACACAGCTACAGCACAGACACAGCTACAGCTACAGACACAGCTACAGCAGAGACACAGCTACAGCAGAGACACAGCTACAGCACAGACACAGCTACAGCACAAACACAGCTACAGCACAGACACAAACACAGCTACAGCACAGACACAGACACAGCTACAGCACGGACACAGCTACAGCACGGACACAGCTACAGCACGGACACAGCTACAGCACGGACACAGCTACAGCACAGACACAGCTACAGCACAGACACACACAGCTACAGACACAGCTACAACACAGACACAGCTACAGCACAGCTACAGACAGAGCTACAACACAGACACAGCTACAGCACCGACACAAACACAGCTACAGCACAGACACACACAGACACAGCTACAACACACGCACAGCTACAACCACGAACACAGACGCAGCTACAGCACGGACGCAGCTACAGCACGGACGCAGACACAGCGACAGCACGGACACTGACACAGCTACAGCACAGTCACAGCTACAGCACAGACAGACACAGCTACAGCAGAGACACAGCTACAGCACAGACACAGACACAGCTACAGCACAGACACAGCTACAGCAGAGACACAGACACAGCTACAGCAGAGACACAGCTACAGACACAGCACAGACACAAACACAGCTACAGCACAGACACAGCTACAGCACAGACAGACACAGCTACAGCACAGACGCAGCTACAGCACGGGAAGCAGCTACAGCACAGACGCAGCTACAGCACGGACACAGCTACAGCACGGATGCAGCTACAGCACGGACGCAGACACACCTACAGCACAGAGACAGCGACAGCACGGACACGGACACAGCTACAGCAGAGACACAGCTACAGCAGAGACACAGCTACAGCACAGATGCAGCTACAACACAGACACAGCTACAGCACAGCTACAGCACAGACACACACAGACACAGCTACAGCACAGACACAGCTACAGCACGGACACAGCTACAGCACGGACACAGCTACA